GTGTCTCAGCAATGGATGCTCTGCAGTGAATGGGTGCCGTCAGAATGAGAGTCCAAACAGCTGATAAAAACATCACAATAATCCACAGCACTCCAGTCCATCAGTGAACATCTGGAGAAGACAAAAGCTGAAACGACTCCATCATTAAGATGTTTTTAACTAAAATATAACTGAGTCCGTAATCCATAATAACTCTTCCTCCAGTGAAAAAGTGCATCTGCTGTTGTCTCTCACATCAAAATCCAGCCACATATGTGTTTAGAGCTGTTTAAACGCTGCTTGATCTGTGCAGATTTCTCTCCTGATTCACACCAGAACACTGACTCACCGGAGGAAGCCTTATTATGGATTATGGACTCATATTTTAGTTAAAAACATCTTAATGCTGGATTAGTTTCAGCTTTTGTCTTCTCCAGATGTGAACTGATGGACTGGAGTGCTGTGGATTATTGGGATGTTTTTATCAGCTGTTTGGACTCTCATTCTGACGGCACCCATTCACCGCAGAGCATCCATTGCTGTCATAAATGACATGAACGGCCTCTGAAGTCGTATTTACTACTCTGAGATTATTTTTATACTCCAGTTTCCGAGTCATAAACTTTAAACATGTTAGGGGACGACGATTGCTGCTGTTAATGCTATTCTTTATTATTATTATTTTAAACAACAACTACATCACCCTGTCTTGCCCTTAAAGTGGTGCCTATTTATATATAGGCTTTTGAAGCATATTGTAGGTTACAACAGGGCTAAAGGCACACCTTAAGAAAAAAAGTGCTTTTCACTATGCACATAATGTATGATTGCAGAAAATATATATATGTTTGTATTGAACATTTATGGAGCAAAACATTTTGGGTAAAAATAAATCATACAAGCGAGGCTCACCAGAATGGGGCACACAGTATTGATACAAATACTTTAGCTAAAATAATGTTTTATTTTTAAAATAATGTCCAAGTTAATACTTGTTCAAAACAATCACTTTAGCAGAGTTTGTACTTATTTTGACAAATAAAAGACTTCATTTTTGTTCAATAAATATACTGTCATTAAAATGTTAATATAAAAATATATTGTAAAATACAGAAACAAAATCATTTTAAAAAGTAAAGATTCTGAATGCATTGAAGGAAATCCCATAATAATATAGATTTACTGTAGTAACAACAAATGATATTTTATTATATGATATGATTAATATCATGTTTTAAAATATGATGGTTTCACTCTAAACATGGTGATTATCTCTAAGATGGACACCCAACATAATATATGATATTTACCTTCTGAATCTAACCATGCCATGTCAACAAATTAAATTTATTCATTATTAGGATTCCATTGTTTGTACGAGTGTGAATGAATGAATAAATATTTATGCATTTATTTATGTATTTATCGATTTGTTTATACATTTCCACATTTATTTAATGATTTAATTTTGAGTCATTTGGCCCTCCACAGGGACGCGGTGACACACGACCCTCTCTATCGCTTTTGCTTTATTCAAAAACAAGCAGCTTTTGATGCAGTTTAATGATCGAGAACATGCAAATTATATGTATTGAATCGCTGTTTACTTGTCAAATTAGGACAGGGTGCTTTTAAAGCCAATTGTAAGCCACACCTTAACTAAAAGAAATAAACTCTCAAAACCTGTTTCAGTGATTTTCATGCCTGCTATTTCATGCAAATATCAGCACATCTAATATGCATGAACACCTGTTTCGTGTTACAGATGCACCTTATGGCAGGTAAAGTGAACTATTCTCTGTGGGACTGAGATGATTCAGATGTTTAGGGAATTTAGTCTTGCTTGAGATGTTTGTATGAGCTTCAACCGTTTGTGAAACGTTTCGGTGCCAGAATCGAGTAACTTTACGCTGGAGTCATTTGTGTAACCCAGTTGGTTACGTGATCTACGGCGGTCTCAGATGACTCTGACAAACGCTGGCTGTGACTCAAATCTCTGTGCTGCCTACATAGAAAGCAATTTTGTGCATCACAGGATGATTGAACAATGAATAAACAGGCACATTCACATTTAAACCATTTAAACGCCCAAACGCCAGGTGCTCATCTCAGTTCTATGCAAGTTTGTTTTTATCCAGAGAATAGTTATCTCGCAATTCTGACTTTACGTCTCGCAATTCTGACTTTATATCTCTCAATTCTGACTTTACGTCTCGCAATTCTGACTTTACGTCTCACAATTCTGACTTCCACAAGCTGCAGCCATCCAAAAGAGCCGTCGTCCGCAGTGAGACACCCGCTCTGGACCCCATCATCGACTCCCAACCTGAAACCACGCACCAAAAACAAGCCTCCATGGAGGAACAATGTAAGTCACTGAGCATGCAACTCTCAATTTCTTCAATGCACATCGCAAAGGAGATGTCTATGAAGTGTTAATTCATTTTAGTTCAAATGCAATGGAGAACTGCTTTCAATTACTTGCATAGCTGCATGTTGAGCAACCCAGATACAGATGCACAACTGTGACAATATACTGGTCAAGAGTACAGTACGTTAACTGAAACATTACATTCGTAAGCACTGCTTGACCACGTTTTACGCAACAAACCCTACTTTAGATGAACTCTGCACGGATTGTTTACGTTTAACGCCGAGCTTTCCAGCACTTTTCTCACACGTTTTCCTAAGTAAGGTGCTGTTGTGAACATCGACAGATACTGACGTGACGGGAAAGGCATGAACTATAAATTCACGTAAACAATCCGTGCAGAGTTCATCTAAAGTAGGGTTTGTTGCGTAAAACGTGGTCAAGCAGTGCTTACGAATGTAATGTTTCAGTTAACGTACTGTACTCTTGACCAGTATATTGTCACAGTTGTGCATCTGTATCTGGGTTGCTCAACATGCAGCTATGCAAGTAATTGAAAGCAGTTCTCCATTGCATTTGAACTAAAATGAATTAACACTTCATAGACATCTCCTTTGCGATGTGCATTGAAGAAATTGAGAGTTGCATGCTCAGTGACTTACATTGTTCCTCCATGGAGGCTTGTTTTTGGTGCGTGGTTTCAGGTTGGGAGTCGATGATGGGGTCCAGAGCGGGTGTCTCACTGCGGACGACGGCTCTTTTGGATGGCTGCAGCTTGTGGAAGACGGGACGTGCGGAAACGGAGCTCAGGAGCAACAAACACGTGGCTAGAATGTCCCATAACTTCATTTTAGACTCAGTTCCTTTGAGGGAAGCTGCAATGGTGCAAAGGTAAAAGCATGAACGTCTGCACAAAAGCATGCATGAGTGACAAAACGTGGCTTTGAATGGAAAAATTTGAGTCTTTTCATGAGTTAATTTGACGAACGCCGTGTTTTTGTACTCGGCGCTACTGAAAGTCTTCCCAGAGGGAAACGGTTCAGTGCAAAGTGTTGTAACTTGTGAGAAGTGCAGAATTAAATATTCTGATGAGGGCCCTGTGTGAAATGTGTTCTGTAGGCCAGTTAATGCTGAACAGATTTCTGTCAGTATTACAGAGCAGAAAAATGCATGTTTTCTGCCAGAGTTTTTCCCCATTCCGGATCTCAAAAACTCCTGTTGATGAAAATGCAAATAAAATCTACCAGTTTCATGAACGCAATGATGTTTACAATGACTTTTATGACTCTTTAATGCAGTAAATGACGCTTTACTCTGAATAGCTCAAATTTTTTTGATCATTTAAAACCTGCTGTTTCTACGTTTAATTAATAGCTTTTTGATATTTGAAGTCGTATAGTCAGAAGATCATTTGGTTAAGATATTTACTGCATCATTCTGCTTTATAAAAACAATCAGAGCTGCATAAATCCTGGATTTTAAGTATTTGACCTATTAAAACGAGTCTATTACATTTGCTCCAAAGTTGCTCATAGTGATGCGAAGTTAACCAGTATTACAGAGCAGAAAAATGCATGTTTTCTGCCAGAGTTTTTCCCCATTCCGGATCTCAAAAACTCCTGTTGATGAAAATGCAAATAAAATCTACCAGTTTCATGAACGCAATGATGTTTACAATGACTTTTATGACTCTTTAATGCAGTAAATGACGCTTTACTCTGAATAGCTCAAATTTTTTTGATCATTTAAAACCTGCTGTTTCTACGTTTAATTAATAGCTTTTTGATATTTGAAGTCGTATAGTCAGAAGATCATTTGGTTAAGATATTTACTGCATCATTCTGCTTTATAAAAACAACCAGAGCTGCATAAATCCTGGATTTTAAGTATTTGACCTATTAAAACGAGTCTATTACATTTGCTCCAAAGTTGCTCATAGTGATGCGAAGTTAAACTCTTAAAGGTTTCTCCATATTATTTACGGTGCATTTTCAGTGTTTTATAGAAGCTACAAAGTTATGTTTTGAAAAGCATACAGTAACTAATTTCAGCTGGAGTCCCAATATATCATACAGTTTTATGTTAGGAGAACGGTGCACTCTTGGAAATAAAGGATTCAAACTGGGTTATACAGACTATATGAGAACCTTTTTAGGTTCATCAGATGTTTTGTGTTTTTTTAGGAGACCATATATGTTTTGGTGCATCAGAATCTGAGGATTCTACAATCAAATGTCCAACTTTTTTTATTTTCAAAGAATATGTACTGCTGGAATGATTATTAATACGAAAAGAAACGTCAATAACATTTATGTTTAAGAGTGTACGCGGGGAAATTACTGTAAAAGTGAATAAGGAAAAACTATGTTGTGTCCATATGCAGAAAGAACGAGATAAATTCACCTTAAATGGGGTCCATACAGACCGGAGCTTCAGAAAAGCCAAATTCTCAATAAATTAGGAAACATCCAAAGATCCGAAGGATAAAATCCGTGCGTTATCCTCCAAATATCACGATTCCAGGTCCATTCACAACATGTTATCCGCTAGATCCCAATGAAGCGTGCGCAGAAGTGTCCAGAGTGTCCAGCTGACGCGCCGTGCGCAACGCGACGCGCGGAACCGTGATGCTGCCGCGTCTGTAACGAGAGAGAAAACCAGCAGCAGCGGCTCAGATGAAGACATCGGGATCCCGAAGACGCAGATCCGGATCCGAACTAACTGTAATAGTTTCCCGTGTCTATTAAAGCGCGCCGCATTCTGCCTCCGAGACGCGACGCACAGGTGATGAAATCCAGGTGAATGTTTGTTAATATCCGCACGGATCAGGTGAAAGTGAAGCGCGACTGTACAGCAGATGGTGTGTGTCTGGTACCTCTCAGCAGCACACAGCGCTCATGATCCACACGCGCGTCTCTGAACGCGTCTGACGCGCACACTTGGCTCTGAGCGCGTTTAAATACGCTCAGGGGTTCGAGCGCGCTGGCGTCACCCTCGGGCCCCGCCCTCATTTTTCTCATGCTCGCACAACTCTGATCCATCCATCCATCATGTTTCCATCCGCACAAATAAAGCTGTTTTTCAGCACCAACAAAAACCATATAAAATCGGGTTTCGCGTTTGAGAGCAACTTTTGAAGTAAGATAAATGCACAAAGCAAAATCTGGATTCATGCGGCTACCATTGTGTAAATTACAGAAAATTATGCACTAAATATCTAAAGCATCTGATCTTATGGCTATATGACTTGGCCAGAAATGGAAAAATACACTAATAAAATTATGCAAAAATGTAAACTATTTAGAGTAAAGCCTCATGAAAATCCATCTTTTGGATTTTTCAGTGTTTCCATAGTAATATTCTTTGAAGTTCCTTGCAATGTCTGCCATAAATACCATAGTATTAATCTGGCTCGGCCACATTGTTTTGTTAGGGAGGTTTGTGGTGTTTGGTGTTGTGTTTGTGTGTCGTTCCACAGGATTAAGCTGCGTCATACAATCTTTATTAAAACCATCTTTACTAAATCAAAGGATCAGTGACAGTAGTTTCTTCAGACTTTAAAACCCGTCTGCCGTTATAAATGGAGCTCTGAATTCATTCTGAGTAATATGAGAGCATCATCTAACCCTAACCTTATCCTAAATATTTCTGATGTGTCATGGCAGTTAATGTGTAACATACATGACTCATTCATTTGCATTTATTCATTTTTTCTGCAACCAACTTAATGAGAAATGCAACAAAGCAATCAATCCTCTGAATGTGATCTTAAAGGACTAGTTCACCCAAAAATGAACATTTGCTGGAAATGTACTCGGCCTCAGGCCACCAAGATGTAGGTGAGTTAGTTTCTTCATCAGATTTGGAGAAATGTAGCACTGCATCAGTGTCTCAGCAATGGATGCTCTGCAGTGAATGGGTGCCGTCAGAATGAGAGTCCAAACAGCTGATAAAAACATCACAATAATCCACAAAAAAGCTGCAACAAATCCATCAAGACGTTTTTAACTAGAATACGAGTCCATAATAACGCTTCCTCCAGTGAAAAAGTGTTCTGGTGTGAATCAGGAGAGAAATCTGCACAGATCAAGCAGCGTTTAAACAGCTCTAAACACATATGTGGCTGGATTTTGATGTGAGAGACAACAGCAGATGCACTTTTCCACTGGAGGAAGCGGGAGTATGGACTCGTATTCTAGTTAAAAACGTCTTGATGGATTTGTTGCAGCTTTTTTGTGGATTATTGTGATGTTTTTATCAGCTGTTTGGACTCTCATTCTGACGGCACCCATTCACTGCAGAGCATCCATTGCTGAGACACTGATGCAGTGCTACATTTCTCCAAATCTGATGAAGACACACACTCACCTACATCTTGGATGACCTGAGGGTAAATTTAAATTTTTGGATGAGCTATTCCTTTAAGGGATTGATGCATAGATGCATCACTCATGCTTTACAACAAGATACTGAACAACTGACAAAAAAGCAGTGCAAATAAATGAATCACTGACAGCAGATGTGTGTGTGTGTGTGTTTGTATGTATGCTTTGTATAAAATAGTTGAGGAGGAGGAGGGTTTCCCCAGCTGAGCCTCGGTCCCTCCCAAGATTCCTTCTCATCTACTCATCGTCTCATCTTAGGGAGTTTTTCTTGCTACTGTCATCTTTGGCTTCCCTGAGGGACTTTGTAAGCCTCTATTCATTGTAAAGCTGGTTGGAACAATTTGCATTGTGAAGAGCTCTATACAAACAAATTGAATTGGAAAAACTGAATTGAATTAAAGCTGCGTGGCATTATAAAGCGAAGCTCTCTAAACATCCTGCCATGAGTCTGAAAGCACATCCACGCACAGATACGGGGGTCTAGAAGTCATTTGAAAGAGAAAAACATGCGTAAAACGAGAAGACATAGATGTTTGAAAAGTAATTCTCTCAGAAAAACTGATGGATGAACATTAGCTACATTAAAAGAAAAATGGATATGTTTTTTTTATATGATTGTGTAATAATTATATTGAATATAATTATTAAATATTATTTAACTAATTATGTAATAATTATGTAATTGCATATACTGTATATAATTTATGCATGCAGTTCCTATGCCCTTGTACTCATTTAGACTGAATATTTGTACTTTCAAAAACATACAAATATTAGTTATACTGCAGGAATTTCATCTGTGAAAAAAAATAACTAAAAGAGGATCAAACTAATTGGAAAATAGATAGTAATTTTAAACAGTTAAACACAAAAGTGTGTGTGTGTGCGTGCATATATACAGTATATATAATATATATGTTCACAAATCATGTTTTTTGGATCCTGCATTCAAATTAATATCAGTCAAACTGCAGTTGGGTTGTTTTGATTAAATAACAATAACTAAAAAAATACAGCTAACTAACACAATAAAACACTATAAAAACATGATTTATGAAAATTAACAAAAACGGAGTTATCTGTATGTACACACATATACAGTATATATATATATATATATATATAGATGTATACACACACACATTAATATTTGTACTTTTAAGAAACAGAAATATTTAGTCACTGCAGGATTTTGAACAACACTTTTCTCTTACAATATTATATATAGAATTATAGAATAAAGTCCTGCAGTATGATTAAATGCCTGCGTTTATTAAACATACAGATGTTCAGTGTAGTCTAATTTTATGTAGGTATAAAAAAATAACTAAAAGGGGGTTAAATTTAGTGGGAAATGTCAAATAATTTCCCCGTGTTTTCCTCTTGTTTTGTGTAGTCAAAGATGTCTACAAGAGAGTTCATTTAGTGTATTGTGAAGGCAAAAGCACTGGTGGCCATTATGATTTCCTAAAGAAATCTGTCATATAATACATGAAGGGCCAAACCCTTCAATTCAACACTCAAATCCTGAAAGGCAGGACAAGGCATGTTTTCTTTGAAAGGGTATTAAGTTGAATATTCAGAACTTGGACGGGCCCATAAAGCGTGTTCGCTTTTAACCTTCTGTTGAGATCGTTTTCATAATGCCGGCTCAGAAATGGCATGTTTTTATGCTCTTCCCATCAGCCAGTTTGTCCTCGTGCGCTTTCTGAACACTTTTCATTGTAACGAATAAAACCTCTGTTTTGTTTTAGGATGCCGATCAAAGTAGTTCATAATCACAAACATTTGAACCACTGCGAATGGTTTAAGCCATCAGAATATGCTAGGAAAGTATTATATGCTTAAACTGTCCAAATAGACACCATATTTGTCTATTGCAATGTGCGTTAATGTTTGCAGGACAGCAAGCAGATGCTGAGGAGCCTCGGCTCGTGAAGTACGGCGAGTATCCGGTGTTCTTCAGCTGTGACTGTGATCCCGTCGTTCCGTAGTGAAGTCCGATCTCCTGCTCCTGCATTTAGATATGTGAGTGTGGTTATATTTAAGTAATTTTGTCATAATTGGCCGTAAGCCCAGTGCTCCTGCTTTAGGAGCTTCATTGATCTATTTTCTCTCTCTGCGAGTCTGTCTCACAGCACAGCGTTAACACTCACTTTTTTTGCTTGTATTGACTGTGATTTTGACACTTGGAGGTGCAAACAGCTAGTCTACTAGATTAGGATGAAGAAAATGTGCTTTGAGAGTTGCATCATTTTAGGGTTATGTTAGTTAACTAAAACTGAATCCATGAAAAATACTTTTTCGTTACTTGAAATAAAAAAATAAAAAAATAAATATATATATATATATAAATGAAACAAATAAAAACATTAAAATAAAATATAAAATAAATATTTATAAATAAAACAAACATTAACTGAAATAAAATAAAATCAGAAATACTTTTTGAAATTTTGTTAACTGAAATATAGTTGTGTGTGTGTGTATATACAGTATATATATACATATATACATAATGTATATAATATAATGTATACATAATGTATGTATGAATGTATTTAAAAAATAATATATTATAAAATAATCATGTGCTAAAAATAATACAAAATAAATATAATTAATAAAAACTATATAGACATATTAAATGTCTTAAAACTATATAGCATATGCATCATCAGTTTGGTTGCATTATTATTATTATTATTTTTATTTTTTACTTATTTGTTTTGGAAACGGGTTTTAATTTTTCTATTTAAAAACGTAATAACTCAAGTATAGTTTTTGAAACCATGAAAATAGCCAAACAAGCTGGCATGGCATAAAAATCCAAACAAACAAACATCAGTTCTGCATTTGTTGCTTATTAAGGCAGCATTTTAATCATCATAGTTGCAACATAATTAGAAATGTCATAATTTGCCTGCCATTTTTGTGTGCTGTGTATCAGATGATCAAAATCACTCACTATTTCAGGTGTCCATGTAGACGGTGAAGCAGCTCACTTGGTTTCGAAACCGAGCTGCAGTTTAGCTTGAATGTCAAACACATTAATGACGGTGTGGTAAACATGCGTGAGTAATCAGAGATCACTGACTGGATGAAATGCTCAGGATAATGGAATTACGGTCATAAGGGTGCAGGGAACAAAGATCAGACTGCCACTGCTTGAGATGGGTGTTTCCCTGATTGAGAAAAGCTCACTCACCACAACTCAACACAGTAAACAATTAGATAAAATAAATGTTATTGCAGAACGCCAACGATAACATCTGCTGTGTTGGTGAGGTACCAAAGTACACAATGATGATGACCCAGTAACGACTTGCATGAGATGTGTTTACATGCATAATTGCAAGTCTTTTGAATAACATTTGAATCAAACAATACTGTCTGCGTTATTGTAAATCATGTGATCTTTATTCCACTTTTTATTAGATGGGTTTTGTAACCTGGCAGCATTTCGTCTGCTGATGTGGCATCAAGTCGTAATTGTATGCAAACGCTTGGACACGTGTGATATTGGTGGTC